CAGGCAATGCATAACCCCCCCCAATAAATAAAATATTAAAAAAGAAAAAGAAAGGTAAGACTCAAAATAGAAATTGTAACACTATTATTCATTCCCATGGTATACTGATATGAGATTTAAAAATTTATTACATTTGTTGGGGGCTGGAGAGATAGCTTTGTGTGTACATAACATGTGTTTCACAGTGTGTATATGTGTAGGTCTGAGGACAACTTTGTGAAACTCGTTCTCAGAGGACAACTTTGTGAGCCTTGTTCTCAGAGGAGAGTTGTGGGTCCTGGGAATTGAACTGTATTCAGTTTTTCAGGCTTGACAGCCAGCACCTTTGCCTACTTAGCCATCTTGCCAGCTCCCAGTGATGGTCTTCTGTAAAGTGTACATATACTGAGATAGCACTGATAAGGATGTGGGTGGCTTGGGTTCCAGACCTGTTACTAACCAGATTTGTGAAAGACATTTTACCAAATGAAAAGGTAAGCATCTTGATCACCTCTTTTTCTTTTCTTTTCTTTTTTCTTTCTTTCTTTCTTTCTTCCTTCCTTCCTTCCTTCCTTCCTTCCTTCCTTTCTTTCATAATTTAGTGTTAATAATTTTACTTTTTAAAAGATTTATTTTTTATTTTTATTTATGTATATGTATGTTCCTCTGTGTAGCACATATTTCAGGTGGGGGTGTCTGCCCAGTCCAGAAGTGGGTGTTGGAGTTATAGGTGGTTGTGAGGTGCCCAACATGGGTTCTGGGAACTGAACTCTGGTCCTTTGCAGGAGCAAGTATGCGTTCTTAACCTCCAGACCCTAGTGTGCTTTTTCAATATATTTTTTATATTTTATTTATTACTTTTTAATTTTATGTGTATGAGTGTATTACCTGCATGTGTGAAAGTGCACTCGGGTGGTGCAATGCCTATAGAGGTCAGAAGAGCGCGTTGAATCCCTGAAACTGGAATTACGGACACCATGTGGGTGCTGGGAATTGAGCCCGGGTCCTCTGCAAGAGCAGTCAGTACTCTTAACCGCTGAGCCATCTCTTCAGCCTGTCAATGTATTTTTACTTTGAGAGTTTCATACTATTTGATCATATTCACCCCTCACTCCTCCCAGATCCACTGACCACCTCCCCACCCTCTTTCAGCTTCTTGCCTTCTTTTCTTTTTAATGACCCACTGAGTCTACTTTGTGCTGCTGGTGTCCTCATGGATGTGGAGCTATCCACTGGAGCATAGTCAGCCTACCAGAGGCCACACCCTTAAAGAAAGCTGACTTCCTCCTCCAGAAGCCTTTAGCTGTCAGGAGCTCCTCTCAGTTAGGGGTGGGGGGCTCATGAGCCCCTCCTGCTCCATGCTAGAATGTTGACTGGCTTTATCTTGTGCAGGAGCCACAACTGCTGTGAGTTCATGAGTGCAGTGGTCCTGTCTTGTCCAGAAGATGCTGTTTCACTTTGGTCTTCCCTGACCCATGGCCGTTACAGTCTTTCCACCCTGTCACTAGAAATGGTCCCTGAACCTTGCATGCATAGTGCAGGGGGGTTGATATAGATGTCCCATTTGTGGGGCTGGAGAGATGGCTCAGAGGTTAAGAGCACATGGCAGCTAACAACTATCCAGTCCAGGGGATCCGACCCCCCCTTCTGTCCTCTGTGGGCACTGAACGACGCTGTTGCACTTACACACATGCAGGCAATACACTCACACACATAAAATAAAAATTAAAAAACAATTTAGATGTCCCATTTGTGGCTGAGCACCCCAAAGACACTTATTCTCCACACTTTGTCCAGCTGTGAGTTTCTGTGTTTGAAAATAGTAATAGCAAAGTGATAGTAGTAGGTTTACCCCTGGGGACTATGTGCTTTCCAGCCATGGGTTCTTAGACAGATTTACAGTACCAAGCATGCATTTCGTCCTGTGGAAATGCATTTCCTTATTGTGGTGCTAGTAGACCACAGGGGGCCTAAGACTGCTGGGTAAGGCTGCTGGTGACCCTCCCCACAGCAACAGCACTTTCGGTTACTATTAGTGATCATCACTTTCAGAGGTACATGTACTTACGGAAGATCCGTAGACTATTTATTTGTTTGCTTTAAAAGAGGGTTGTGCTTTATAGCCCAGACTGGCCCCCAGCTGGCAATTTTCCTGCCTCAGCCTCCTGAATATTGGGATTACAGGCTTGCCATGAGGTTCAGCTGCCATTATTAACAGAGGGGATAAAAGCAAGTCAAGAAAAAGTACTTTGATCATGAGGTCGTGTGCATAAAGATCATATTTGTATACATACATACATACATGCATACAGTAAATGCACCCAAAATACAAAACAGTGAACTATCACAGTTAATTACATAGTTTTGTCTGACTTGGATCATCTACAAAGAGAAGACATTTTGCATAATTTAAAAAAAGCTAAGGTTGGGCTGGAAAGATGTCTTAGCAGTCAGGAGCAGTGGCTGCTCTTCCAGAGGATCTAGGTTCAGTCCCAGCACCCACATGGTGGCTAACAACCATCTTTTACTCCAGTTTAAGGGGATTTGACACTCTCACAGGCCTCCACGGGCATTGCATAATACGGGTACACTTACATACATAGCAGGCAAAACACTCATACACATAAAATAAAAATAAATCCCCCAAAATTAAAGCTAAGGTCCACCTCCAAGTCTGTCGAATGATGATTGTTAAAATACAGAGCACAAACTGGGAATGGCAGCTAGGCTTATAATCCCAGCACTCTGGAGGCAGGAGGATCAGGAGTTCCAGGCCAGTCTGGACTACATGAGCCTGCCTCAAGAACCACGGAAAAAGATCAAGTGATGGGAGAGCCTAGGGAAAACCACAGCACGCCACCCTTGAACTGTGCTGAGGTGAGCACTAGAGGGCAGAGGAGCTGAGACTAGGTGGCAGGAGAAACCGCGCAGGGCATCTGGGCTTTGCGGTCGCCAGGGGGCAGGAGTGTGGGGCAACCGAAATTTATAACTACCATGTCTGTCTCGGGCTCCAAGGCCAGGCAGGACAGGTGAGAGGTCGTAGGTTCCACCCCACAGCGAAGCCCAGACTGGTTTGAAGTCGAGACTCTGAAAGAGTCTGGCTTTGGAAGCAATCTCTGCCTCCAAGGCCTCACTTACGCGAAACTGCTAAACTGCCTCCCCCCAACCACCGTGGGGAAATTGAGTCACCCGGAGGAGAGGGGAAAGAGGGCCGGAGCCAACCCTCCAGGCCTTCCAGATGAGAGGAGGAGGGGTTTCCAGGAAAACAAAGCCGACGTGGGGGTGGAGAGGCGGTTGGTTGGGCAGAAGCAGAGCCAGACGCATGGAGAAACGCTGCCCAGGATCAAAGGAAATATGACATTTGAAAAAAATGTGCACGTCTGCTGGCGCT